CAGGGGGCAGGGCACCCGTCAAGGGGTGGGGCTCTCCTTGTGGCCCTCAACAGCCCCCCAAAACTCATTAAGTGGCCGACCAGCCCAAATTATTGCCCGCCCCTGTCTTGAAGGGAGATGAAATTAAGCAGCCTTGTGCAAAAAGTCCTTTAGTTAACCTCTTGGCCAAATGAGTCTGTGGTGCAGAAAGGAACGTTCTGTGGGTACCTTTTGTACTGGATGAATTTGTTTGACTCAGAGTAACCCAGATCCATTTTATAGAAGTTTTGCAAGTGCCCAGATAACAAGAGTATTAACCTTCCTTGCTTCTTCATCCTCCCAGCTCTTCCCTCACAGGTCCTGCCATGGGCTTGATCTGGAGAATCAGGAAGGTTTGGATATTGTTTTGCACATCTTAAGCAGCTTCAGCTCTTTATTTTGCTCTTTTGTCAGACAAAGGCATTAGAAGCAGCAGTGTTCTGCTAGTGTTGTGTCAAAATACACAGAGACAATATTTTGCTCTTCCTTTTATATGGGAGTTAAGAGCCTTACAGAAGCTTTAAGTAGCTAGTGGGCTGTGTGGTTATTTCAGCAGCTTTGGAGTTGATTTGATTTTTTTTTTCTTTTTTTTTTTTTTTTTTGCATGGCTGCTATGTGACACCGTTAAGCACCAAAGAGAATGTGTTTTTATTTAAACAGTGTTAGCATTCATCCAATGGTTAGCCACTTTAGATAAGATCCAGTTGGTCTCAGAGTTGTCTGAATACAACTCAGATGGCGTTTAGGCTTGTACATTTTAGAGTGATCCAACCTGGCCCTACTCCATCACCCACAAAACTCACTAAGAGCCCAATTTCAGGCAGTGCCTCCATTTTGGAGTGCCAAGCACCCAAGGGACCTTCACGTGGGTTTCTGGTCAAGCCTGGAAGTGATCCATTTTGGTCACCCAGGCACCTAGCTTGAGTCGTTGTTCTGTTGACCTCCAGTTTAGTGCTGGAAGACGCCTAAGATCATCACGTGCTAGTTATACTAGCATAACTAGGGGATCATCAAGACAGCAGACCCACCAGTTATGCTCCAAACAGACCTAATTCACACTGATAAAAATGAATTTGGTTCAAGCACTCCAGTGGCATCTTGTCCAACAGTCTTGTCCAACAGTCTAGTGTTTATAGTGCACACCCCCAGGAAAGGGGAAACCTGGACTTGTCCTGAGGAGTTTCATGTCCGACTTCCTAGGAAAATGCCCTAATTACCAGGCTTCCACCTTCCATCCTCCTGGTGAAGCTGAGCCACTGGGCAACAAACAATGGGTCTTGGCCAAAAAGAAACCAGGGTAGAGAAACTAATTATGCCAGTGGTGCGAGTGTGACCAGGCATCTACCTCTCTTCATTTTCCATATACAAATCCCAGGCGAATGGATCTGGTTAAATGGATTGTTCTCTCTGGTCAAGATGACTATCATCTGTTCCAGCTCCTTAGTGTACTTGCCCAAAAGACATGTTCTTTATCACCAGTCATTTAACACTGGGATGAGTTATAGCTTCATGGTTGTAATATCCCGTGTGGGGGAAGTAAGGGAAGCAGCAGATACTAAACTTCAAAAAAGCAGATTTAAACTCTGGATACTGGTAGAGAGGATTCTCAGGGTGGGGGAAAGCTAGGGGAGCTTGCTGTATTTTACAGAGGCCATATTAAAGGTGCAGGAGGGAGGTATCCCGATGCAACAGAAGAATGGGAACTGCAATGGGAGACCAGCCTGACTAGACAGGAGTCTCTTCAATGAATTGAAACTCAAAAAGGAAGCCTATAAAAAGTGGCAATTTGGTCATGGTACTAAAGAAAAGTATAAGAATTAGTGCACGGGTGTGCAGAAATATAGAAGGCCAAGGCACAGTTTGAGATGCAGCTGGCAAGGGATACAAGGTAATAAAAAGGGATTCTACAAGTATGTCACAAGTAAGAGGAAGACCAGAGAAAACATAGGTCTCATATAAAAAGGGAAAGCAGTCTAGCTGCAGATGATCCAGAAAAGGCTGAAGTATTTAGTGCCTTTTTTTTTTATAACTGCAGTCTTCACAAGTAGGGTCAGCTACCAGATGACGTGCACAGTTGGTAGCAAAGATAGGGAAGGAGACGGCCAAGTCTAGTGAAAGAATGGGTTAGCGGTTACTTACTAGGTGCTTTCAAGCCAGCAGGGCCAGATGAGAGGCACCCAAAGGTATAGCAAGAATTGGCCAAGGTAATTTCAGAGTCATTGGCTATCTTTGTTGAAAACTCTTGAAGGTTGGATGAGGTCCCGAATGATTGAAAATGGGGAAATATCGTGCCCAGTTTTAAGGAAGGGAAAAAGAAAGACCTGGGGAATTAGAGACCACTCAGTCTGACCTCAATGCTAGGAAAGATCATGGAGCAGGTTCTCCAGGGATCAAGTGTGAAGCACAAGGTGATCAGGAACAGCCAGCATGGATTCACCAAGAGAGTCATGCCTGACCAACCTGTTTTCCTGCCATAATGGTGATGGGCTGTGGGATGGGTGGAGAGCAGTGGAAGTGATATACCTTGACTTTAGCAAAGCTTTCACACGGTCTCCTGCAACCTTCTCACTAGTAAGCTAAAGAAACACAGGCTAGATGAAAATACTTTAAAGCATGCTGGTCCAACCAGTGCCATTAATGAGTAGTCATTAGTGGCTTAATATCTGAGTGGGAAGAGGTATCAAGTGGGGTCCCCCAGGGACCCAGGGATCTGTTCTGGGTCCAGTGTTGTTTAACATCCTCAGTAATGCTTTAGATAATAAGATTGAGTGCATGCTTAGCAAATGTATGATACTAAGCTTGGTGCAGTTGTAGACACTCCAGCGGGCAGGGCTCACATCCAGAATGACCTGGATAGACTGGAGAAACAGTCCACAGTCAACTGGATGAAATTCAACAAGGACAAGTGCAAAGTCCTACACTTAGCATGGATTAATTGCAATCAGAAATAGACTGGGAGTATGACTGACAAGGCTGCAGGACTGCAGGGATCAGGGGTTAGGACAGACCATAAGCTGAATGTGATATCTTATTACCAAAAAAACCCACCTGTACCCTGGGTTGTATTAACAGGGGTGTCTCTTGCAAATCAAAGGAAGTGATTCTTTCTTTCTATTCAGTACTGGTGAGGCCTCGCCTGGAGCGCCATGTCCAGTTTTGTGCTCCACATTTCATGAAGGATGTGGACAGTTTTGGAAAGAGCCCAGTGTAGAGTGATAAAAAATGACTAAGTGCCTGGGAGGCATGACTTATGAAGAAAGGCTAGAAGAACAAGAGATGTTTAGTCTGGAGAAGACAGACTAAGGGGGGATTTGATAACAGCCTTTAAATACTTAAAGGATGATTATAGAGAGGATAGAAATGGGCTTTTTTCTGTGGCTGTAGGGGACAGGATTGGGAGCAATGGCCTTAAGCTGCAGCAGAGAAGACTTGAATTGGAGATTAGGAGGACCTTTGCCTGTGAGGGTGGTGAAGCTACCTAGAGAAATTATGGAGTCTCCATCCCTGGAAGTTTTCAAGATCAGGTTAGGCAGACACCTGGCCTAGGACGGTTTAGTCAAGGGTGTTCCTGTCTTGAGCAGGGGGCTGGACTAGGTGACCTCATTAGGTCCCTTTCTGCCTTCTTTTTCTGTGTTCCCAAGTTGGGGAGCTCACGTTTTCCAGCTGTTTAGTGCAGGTCGGCTGTGCCTCTAAGTGAAACCTGGAATGTGTTCTCGTGTTGTTCAGATGCAGCACGCCTCATTCTAGACCCTGACTTCTCCTCCAGTTGGAAACAATGCAAAGGTAATAGCAGCAAACTCCTGAGCAGGTCCAATGCAGGTAGCCTCAGAGCTGGAATCCGCTGGAGCTTTACGTATTTTCTGTTTAACTGCAATAGACAGTGAGGGCAAGGGAGCACAAATGGGAGGCAAGAGCTCAGTGGATGATCTCACTGGAAGAATAATTTCTGCCAAACCACCTATTCTTGATGGAAATGGTGGGAGGAGAGAGATTCTACCCAGAGCTGCCGCACAGTCGTGCATGCTGGTCACTACAATGGGTGTGACAGTAGCACTGAATTGCTTCTCTGTTTGCGGTTGTGCAGACAAAGAGTCTGGCGCGGGGGCTGGCAGGGCAGAGTCGAGCCCAGGAACCCTATGGGCAAGTCTGAACAGCTCTCAGGGTTTGGAGGAACAGCTCTGATTGTCTCCGACTAGGGGGAAAAAAATCCTTTCCTCGAAAGGAAACAGGGAGCAGAATTCCCACTGCAATGAATGGAGGGAATTCGTTCTCAAGAGACTTTTGGCAGGCTCGTTTTTTTCATAACGATTGTATTGAGTCCTTCATCAATGCTGTTTTGTACAGTGGGCTGAGTCAATGATGCTTTTTAACCATTCTCCAACACAAAATATTCAGCCTTCTCGCTAAGTTGTTGCTTTTTCTTTCTTTCTTTTTTTTTTTTTAATCTCCATCGATAACCTTTTCAGGGTATTCATACTCAGCAGCATCTTTGAATGACTCATCTCTGCATTAATTCAACAGTCCGGTTCTTAACCCTGCAAGGCGCCAAGTCAGCATAAACAATGACCAGGCCCTCTTAAATCATTCTTCATAATGATCTCTTTGGTCAAGAATTTAATGTCTGTGCTTGTCAATATTCAAGGCAAGTCACCTAGGGCTCTGCAACAAAAAAAAAAAACCAACAAAAAAAAAGCCCCTAGAACCAGCCAATCCCTTGTACTGTAGTTAAGAGGTCACCTTGCCATGGAGAAAGTTAATCCATTTTCTACATCTGTAATGCAGACAGAAGTAACGGATTTTTGCCTTTCGTGGGGCTCATGTCCTTCGCTGCCTGCTTTTTATCTGTTCTGTCGGTTTTCTTTTTTCTTTTCTTTTTTCCTTTTTTATGGTCTCGCAAATTGATCTTACTTTTCTCGACGGTGGTGGTGATTTGTAAAAACATTTTACTTTTTATTTTTTTTTCTTTCCGTTCATTCCTGCAGGGTTTTGCACAGAGCTTCCTGAGAAGAATGTCTCCCCGAAGTACCATTCCCGGCTGTGGAGTTATCTTTGAGATCGTCTCAAATATTCCAGAGGTGAATTGCTAAGGATTCAACATGCCTAGAGCGGCAAGGGGACACTCGCATTTGTGTGACCCTTGGTTACCTACAACATTTAGGCAAATTCTTTTTGTATCATATTCTGGGTATGCAATCTGCACTGGCACTTGGTGTTTAGTTGGTTTCCCTTGCTGTTTATGTGGGCCTTTCACACAGCAAGCCAGAGAGAGAGGAGCATCTTAAGAGACATCCTGCAGCAGATAAATTCCCTGTCTCTGCTTTTAAGTCATTGTTTTGAAATCATCCAAACTTGAAGGGTAACAGCATCGCTTTGCTAAGTTATGTTGCTCTCTGATGTATGGATCGCTGAGTACGTTCACACTTTCCTTCAGTGCCTGCGGTATCTCCTTTTTACTAACATAACAGATCATAGAGTCATTGAAAATGAGGGTGGGAAGGGACCTCCGGAGGTCACATCTAATCCAACCTCCTGCTCAAAGCAAGACCAGCCCCACCTACATCATCCCAGCCAAGACTTTGTCTAGTTGGGTTGTATAAACCTCCAAGGATGGAGCTTGCACCATCTCTCTGGGTATCCTCTTCCAGTGTTTTACTACCCTCCTAGTAAGAAAATTCTTCCTACTATCCAACCTCACTTTCCCTTGCTGCAACTTGAGACCACTGCTCCTTGTTGTCATCTGCCACCGCTACCAGAGTCTTGAAGGCTGCTTGCAGACGTGGAAAAAAAAAAAAAGAAAAAGCTGGGGGCCTCCCACTTAGTCTACACCTCTCATGTCTCTTCACGGTGCCAGACTAGAGTCGAGCTCAACAGGGTCTTCTTTCCCCGCTGATTCTGCCAAGCCCTTTCCCTTGGCTGTGGTTTCGCTAGATAGTAGGTAGGGGCAGTGGGAATCTCGTTCATCCGTTCATGCTCGTCACTAATTAGATGATGAGGCATTTGGCTATTTACCAAACCCCAAAGGGTACCTCTTTTAGGTTATTTAGAGCTGTTCAGTTAAGTGGCTCAGCGTGCCCATGCAATGCAGCTGCAGAGCAGCGGACTATGTTGGCTCTAGACAGCCTAGAACTGTGTGACGACGACATGCACCACCTGCCGTGACAGCTCATGGACGCAATGGGAGGTAATCATTACGAGATTTTTGTTTTCCCACTGGGGAACAGGCTCCTCAGCCTGAGTCCCAGGCAACTTAGAGGTTGGCAGACTGCCATACCAGGCCAAGTCTGGTTCCCTCTTTTATATAAATACAGAAACACTTTCAGTAAATGCTTCCCTTCAGCATGTTCTGTCCCGATCTTCATGGTTCATCCCTCATGGCACAGTACAAATGCCTCAGGCCCCTCATGAGCGGGTATTGGGCAGAGAAAGTATATTGGCACTTCACTTTAAGCTCGGCATGCCCCCGCACCTAGCACAGTGCAGTGCATACCCAGAAGAGGCATCACGTTAGTTTGACCCAGCT